TTAAAAATGGGGTTATTTCACATAACAATTCTCCATTTGCCACTCCTGAAATATAGGATGATCTGGCAACTTTTCCACCTAACATTCAGAAATGTCTCTGCTCTCCAGTTCCTCAGTGTCCCCATTCCACACCTATTTTATTCCTCTATCACTTGCCTGACCCCTGTGCACAAGTGAGTTTACAACCTTTGCCAAGACTCCACTGGACTTTGAGCATAGCGCAAGGCTTCCTAAACATGCACACTCCAACGTGGAGAGCTCTTATCAGATGCCCTCTCAAGAACTTAAAATCATCCGACAAGGGAAAAGAAACACTGAATTATTGACTTTACAGAGGCGAGGGGCTTGACATCTCTACAACTCAGGGAGGAATTCCAGCTCCCGGGATTTTCAGTCCTTTGAAAGACTTGACAAAGGCTTAAGAGAGTTAATGGAAGGAAAAGTAGCAATCGATGCCCACAGATGAGCGGCAGGAAGAACTTTCACCCAGTTTTGCAATCAGCAGCCCAACCTGGCCTCTCCCCTCAGGGAAAACCGAGGCCCCACCGGAATGCTGGAGAGAGGCCGGCTGCACCTCCCTGAGTGACAGGATGTCTCTGGCTCTTCCCTCCTGAGCGGATTCGCCGCCCGGAGAAAAGCCGTTCCCCTCCCCACCACCGCCCGATCCACCCGCCAGCTCCCAAATCTCCCCGCCACCACTGCCCACAGCCCCGGCGCTGGGACCCCAGCTGCGGCTGCGCGAGGACTCCCGGCCGGAAAACAGGGACCCGCAGCGCGAGCGCGAGGCGCGCGCCCGCCCTCCAACCTTCAAGTGCTCACCTCCCCCCGCGCCGGTGACCAGTACCACCCGCCCGTCGAACCTCAGCGGCGAGGCCATGAGTCCGGCCAGCAGCGACACAAACACACACAAACAGAACCGCTGGGCTCAAACTGCGGGACAGGGAGGAGCGAGGGAGTAGCAGGGGCGGGAGGAGAGGGAGGAATCTGCCAATTTCCAGGGAGACTGGCGCCGTATTTTCTCAGTGCGCCTGCGCGGGACTCCCTTGGAACCCTGGGAAATGTAATCCAGCGTGACTGCACTCGCTGGGAGAACCTGCCAAAGAGGCATGGCTTGAATGGGGCAGTTCTGCTGCTAGAAGCGGTGAGAGCTGCTGAGACCTGTGTAGCAAAATAGCTGACCGAACTCCCTACATTCGTCCGTTCACCTTTCGTTTCGTCATTCACTCAACAGACGTTTTCTGGGTCTAGGCTTTGACCTAGAGAAATAGCTTGAGGCCCCTATCCTTGGGTGGCTTTGAAATACAGCCCCTGAAAATGAAAGTCATTCTTGGCCATGGTAAAGATTTCTCAGAATGTAATCCTGGACTTCCTGCGTGCAGATCATCTGGACCTATCAAAATGCAGAGTTTTGGACGCCCACCACTGACTCCCGAACTGGGATCTCAGGGGACCAAAAAAAATTTTGACTAGTGTTTCTAAATGATTTTTGCATTTGTATGTTGAGACCAGTCATAGAGTGTCATTCATTCACTCAATATTTATTGAGCATCTACTGGGTTTTAGACAAAAGTTTACAGATGAGCGATACAATGCTCCAGAACTATTCAACGTCAGGTGGTAAACTTTACATAACAATGATAAATGTGTGTAAGTACACTAATAGTGTCCAAATAAATGGACCCTATCCATGCTGGGGCGAAGGAAAAACTTTCTTAAGAAATTGAAGCAAAGGACATGAAGAAGTGAGCCCTGCAAAGAAAGGAGGGGCATTTACAGGCAGCAGAAACATTGGTTAGATTTGGGGAGAAAGAGGGTGAAGCCACAGAAGTAAGCAGAGTCAATCAGATCATGTTAGATGTTTGAATTTGTGCTGAAAGTGATTTTAGGTAGGATTACTCCAGAGGGTAATAGGAACACATTTACACTGTGGCATGATTGCTCTGCCCCATTATGGAGGATTGGTTGAAGGTGGGCAAGGAGAACACATAAAAGACTTGGGGAAAATTATGGAGGCCAGAAATAAGGCAGAGTAAATGCTGAAGAGGGAAAGTTTTGAAATATACTATATTCGGAAGTGGAGCTAATAGGTCTTTGTTATTAATTGAATGTGAGTGTGAAGGAGGAATGACTGAAATAACCCCATATTTCTGGTTTGAGAATCTAAATTATGATTTAGATGGGCCGTTTATGATGGGCCATTCATCAAAATAAGAAATAGTGGGAGAAAAGCAGCTTTTGGAGGGAATATGGCTCTAATTTTAGATAAACTGCATTTGGGAAGGGAAGTAAAGCTATGACTAGAGATGGCTAGCAGACAGCTTGCTTCTAGAGCTCTGAAAGTTTACTTCAATGCTCAGGCTCAGCAAGAAAAGTCTCTCTGTACCTCAACCCTAAACTCCAAAGAGCACATTCTTCACTGAAACCTTGCCCCTAAACCAGGACCTTGCTCTCTTTGCTGTTTTCTATATCTGCCTCATAACTTTTGACCCCTGAATTCTGATGCTCACTAAAACCCAGGGAGACAAGCTCCAAGGGTGCTGGATCCAAAAATAAGAAAGCCATTAGAGGCCGGGTGCGGTGGCTCACGCCTGTAATCCTAGCACTCTGGGAGGCCGAGGCAGGGGGATCGCTTGAGCTCAGGAGTTTGAGACCAGCCTGAGCAACAGCGAGACCTCATTTCTACTTAAAATAGAAAGAAATTGGCCAAACAACTAAAAATAGAAAAAATTAGCCGGGCATGGTGGTGCGTGCCTGTAGTCCCAGCTACTCGGGAGGCTGAGGCAGGAGGATCGCTTGAGCCCAGGAGTTTGAGGTTGCTGTGAGCTAGGCTGATGCCACGGCACTCTAGCCCGGGCAACAGAGTGACACTCTGTTTCAAAAAAAAAAAAAAAGAAAGCCATTAGAGATAAGAATGCAGTAAGAGATGCAGTCCACTGAGGGTAGGCCCTGCTCTTTAGGCCAGGACCTCACCCCCGATGGTGCAGCCTCCAACTATGGGGCACAATGCCTGGAGATGAGGCCCGCTCCTCCCTCCCAAAGCCACCCTGCCCGTACCCCATTCACCCCCCAAAACCGCCCTGCCTTTACTAAGGCTCCCTACCGGTGCTGCAAGCACTGACTTAGACAGAAGATGAACTTGAACTTCTGTGCTTACCATGAGAAAGGCCCCTGAACATTTCAAATGCAGGCTTAAAGCGAACTGTAAAACTGAGCCTTGGGCCATTTGGAAATCCAAACTTCACATGGTAAACCTGTGTGGCAACTCATTACACTTTGGTCTTCATGCCCTTTCTCCGTACCGGAGAAGCCGACACAGGGTAACAGAGCAGAAGGAAACTTCCTCAAGCTAGATGCAACCAGGGGGCCTACTATTCATTGGACCCCTTTGCCCAGCTCCACCATGGAGCAAGACTCTAGATCATCATAACAGGATATGTTTCAGTTTTGTAATCTTTCTTGTTTAATCCAATAACCCTGTTGTTGTTGCTTTAAAAAACAAACTAGAAAAAAAAAAGAGGCAGGGTGCATTATTCCTACTTGCAGAAATGTTAAGTGCAAAGTCAACTCAATTGTAACCTAAAAGGAAGTACATTCAGCCACAGGCCTACAACTTGAGAGAGAATGAAGCCTCTCTCAGCTGTTGCTGGGGAGCCAATATTTTCCATTTCCCAGACTCAAAACTGGGTGCTGGCTAGTCCTGTACCAAAGCCAACAGGGATAAGTAAATGCAAGTGCCTAGTGTTAACAGAAAAGACCCAAACTCTGTAAAATAATTTAAAGAGATTTATTCTGAGCTGAGTGTGTGTGACTGTGGCTGGAGCACATTTTCAAGAGGTTCTGAAAAAAAGTATCCACAGTAGCCAGGTTACAGTTTGGTTTTGTTTAGCTTGAAAAGGCAAGTTGGGGAGGTGGGGAGATGCAGACAGCTTACAGGTTATAGGTGTGTTTAAAGACTCTTTGATTTGTGATTGGTTTAAGAAATGGAGCTTTGGCCCGAGCGTGGTAGCTCACACCTGTAATCCTAGCACTCTGGGAAACTGAAGTGGGAGGATTGCTTGAGCTCAGGAGTCGAGACCAACCTTAGCGAGAGTGAGACCCCCGTCCAGTCTCTACTAAAAGTAGAAAGATGAGCCAGGCATTGTGGCACATGCCTATAGTCCCAGATACTCAGGAGGCTGAGGCAGGAGGATTCCTTGAACCCAGGAGTTTGAGGTTGCTGTGAGCCAGCCTGACGCCACTGCACTCTAGCCAGGGCGACAAACTGAGACTCTGTCTCAAAAAAAAAAAAGGAAATCGAACTCCACTCCTCCTACTCCCTGGTTCATAAATTAAAAAATTCTTTTTAATTTTAACATTTTAATTAAAAAATAAAGAAGAGAGTCTAAAATCTAAAGTCTTGGAATGTTTTAAGTTAAGGATATCTGTTAATCAGAGATAAGCCACTGGACATTTAAGCAACTCAAATGATCTGTTTGTCTTGCATGACCTTAGGCCTGTTAATGATTTAGTATCCTGTTACAAAAAATAACTCCAAAAGGTAGGAGGCATGACGAAGCATATCTAACTTCCCTTCTCCTCATTCCAGCAACTCAGCTTTAAGGTTTTTCTGGGGTCCTCTTGGCCAAGAAGGGGTCCATTTACTCAGCTGAGGGGCTTAATATTTTCTTTGAGTTTACACTAGTTTACGGTAAGTGCCCAAATAAATATAACATGATTGTGAATGAGAAGCAATACAGATTCAGGAATTATAATCATCAAAACTAGAGTGAGGTGTCTAATTTCACACACTATCAAAGTGTTGCTATGTAAGTGTAGAACATTTTCTCTGATGGTCTCATGTTGCTCTCAAATTCTGGTTCTTCTGAGAGCAGAGGCAGAAAAAGAGACTTAAACTTGCCGGTTAAAAGTTAACTCCATCTATTTTTGTTGCTGTGGCGATTGCTTTGGGGGTCTTCTTCAAGAATTCCTTACCTAGGCCGATGTCTGAAAGGGTCTTCCCAACATCTTCATTTAGAATTCTTAAGGTTTCACGCCTTAGGTTTAAGTCTGTTATCCACCTTGAATTGATTTTTGTGAGAGGTGAGAGGTAGGGGTCTAGTTTCAGTCTTCTGCATGTAGCTATCCGGTTTTCCCAGCACCATTTATTGAAAAGAGATTCTTTTCCCCAGTGTATGTTTTTGTCAGCTTTGTCGAAGATTAGATTACCATATGCAGATGGTTTCATCTCTGGATTCTCAGTCCTGTTCCAGAGGTCAATGTCTCTATTTTTGTGCCAATACCAAGCTGTTTTAATCACTACAGCCTGGTAGTACAGCTTAAAGTCAGGTAAACTGATACCTCCCAGTTTGTTCTTTTTACTTAGGATTGCTTTGGCTATACGAGGTCTTTTCTGATTCCATACAAAGCGTAGAATTATTTTTTCCAGATCTGTGAAGAATGATAATGGGATTTTGATAGGGATTGCATTAATTCTGTAGATCACTTTAGGTAGTATGGACATTTTAACGATATTGATTCTACCAATCCATGAGCAAGGTAGGTTTTTCCATCTGTTTACATCTTCTACAATTTCTTAAACATTCTACGATAAGGACATTTGCACCCGAATGTTTATGGCAGCACAATTCACTATTGCAAGAATGTGGAAACAACCCAAGTGCCCGTCAATCCATGAGTGGATTATCAAAATTTGGTATATGTTTACAATGGAATATTACTCAATCATAAGAAATGACAGTGATCTAGCACCACTTACACTTTCCTGGATTAAACTTGAGCCCATTATCCAAAGTGGAGCACCACAAGAGCAGCAGAACGGGATCCATTTGTACTCACCATCAAATTGGTATTAACTAATCAACACATAAATGCACATATCAGAACAACATCTATTGGATGCTGGGGAAGGGGGAGGGCGGCGGGAGGAAGGGGGGAGGAGGGAGGAGGGGACGAGTATTTGTATACACAAGGAGTGCAATGCGCACTACCCAAAGGA